TACTCTTAATTATTGTACTTTTGAGACCTGGAACATTCTAGATATTAAATTGACGCCGAGCAAATGAATGAATGCATGTATGGTAGAAACTGTTTTAGAGAAAACAGCCTTTAATATTCAGAATACAGCTACCTGCTCCGGCTATTCAGAGTTTATTGACCAAGAGGAAAGACTTGGATATGCAAGCAAAAACAAGGAAAAGAGAACTTCACAATTTCTTTTCTTTTCTTTAAAATTTTTAATGTTTATTTTTGAAAGAGAGAGGGACAGACAGTGAGGGGCTGGGGGCAGAGAGAGAAGGGGACACAGAGTCTGAAGGAGGCTCCAGGCTCTGAGCCATCAGCACAGAGCCTGACGCGGAGCTGGAACTCACAGACAGCAAGATTGTGACCCCAGCTGAAGCCGGGCGCTCAACCGACTGAGCCACCCAGGCGCATCTCATTTTCTAAAATATGTCTTCTTTTGATTTTATGTGAGTGCTCAATCAGATGGTTTCAATATATTTTTAAAAATAATTTGCACTTTTGTATGATGTAATGTGTTTCAAAGATGATATCATCCATTGCATTTGATTGCATAATGTCTACTGTTTCTGGACACATACAAGTACTACAGGGTCTTTCTTCATTTTGGAAGTCACTGTTTACATTAAAAAAAAAAGGCCTGATTTAAGCAAGTATCTGGTTTGTAGAGCAGTGTGTTTGTGGCTGTGGAGGTCTCTGATGAAGGTTTAAGAGGGCGTAATATCAGTTGTATTACCTGTTACTGTAGGGAAAGCTAGTGTGGAGGGAAAGACCAAATCTGAGGCCTCTGAGTTCTAGCCTCAAATTATCACCATTCGTGGGCTATCTTGGGAAAATAACACAATCTCTCTTATATCCCTTTTCTTCATTTTCAAAATGAGGCAACAATCTAAGCTGACCCAAAAGTGTGATTGTAAATTCGAATGATATCATGCATATGGAACACATTTAAAAATCACTTCACATTAGGGGTGCCTGTGTGGTGCCATCAGGGTAAGCGTCCAACTCTCCATTTGGGCTCAGGTCATGATCTCATGGTTCCTGAGTTCGAGCCCCACGTCGGGCTCTGCACTGACGGTGCAGAGCCTGCTTGGGATTCTCTCTCTCTCTCTCTCTCTCTCTCTCTCCCTCTAGTTCTACCCCTCCCCGCCTCCCCCCACTGTCTCTGTAAAAATAAGCAAATGTAAAAAATCAGAAAATCTTTTTAAGTGTATTTATTTTGAGAAAGAGAGAGCACAAGTAGGGGAGGGGCAGAGAGAGAAGAAGAGAGAGAATCCCAAGCAGGCTCGATGCTGTCAGCACAGAGCCTGACAAGGGACTTGATCCCACAAACTGAGATCATGACCTCAGCTGAAATCAAGAGTCAGATACTCAACCAACTCTTGAGCCCTTAAGACACTTTTGCCGTTGATGTCCTTAGATAAATGCTATCGAGAAAGTAAAGTAAAACAATAACAGAATTACTCGGGTTTGTATTGGCAAGGAAGATCTGGAGGAAATGATGCTTAAGGTGACATCTTGCTTATATTAATACAAATTAAATAGGCACATAGAATAAATATGTGTGCATCCATCAGTGGATACATGGACTTTTACAGTACAGTTAATGGATGTCTTTGAGTTCGATGGTAACAAAATCTTTGATTTGATTCCTGTAAAAGAAAAGGTCAGTAGGAAACTTTATGGCATAATGTGGTTCTCTGCATGAGTCACTTCCTTACGGAAGTATACATCAAGGTTTTGGAAATAAAGAAATAGAAGCTACAGGAAATCAGGAAGTAGCTTCTTCCTGCATATTTTAGCTGTGAAATACCGTACTAAGGTATTTAAGGAATTTTATAAATCAAAATGTTGTTTTATTATAGATTCTTTTGAATATTTAATGAAATAGTTCAGTTGAAAATAGTTCAATATTTTGCATTTGCATAGACTTTCTCATTCAAGTATCGTTAACATACAGGGTGTATTCATTTCAGGTGTACGATATAATGATGCAACCATCGGATACATTTTTCAGTGTTCGTCAAGATAAATGCACTCTTTTTTAAACATTTTTTTAAAACATTTATTCATTTTTGAGAGACAGAGAGAGACACAGAGCATGAGTGGGGAGAGAGGGAGACACAGAATCTGAAACAGGCTCCGGGCTCTGAGCTGTCAGCACAGAGCCCAACACGGGGCTTGAACTCACAGACTATGAGATCATGACCCAAGGTGAAGTTGGACACTTACCCAACTGAGCCACCCAGGCGCCCCATGATAAATGCACTCTTAATCTTGTTTATTTATTCCACCCGTTACCTCCCCTACCTCCCCTCCTTTTTCACATATAGATACCCAGATGTACTACAATCATTTGTTAAAGTGTCAGTCCTTCCTCCATTGATCTACAGAGCCACCTTTGTTGTATGTTGTCTGTGTATCCATGCACGTGTTTCTGGGATCTTTTTCTCTTTTGTTGGTCTGTCATCCTCACACAAATACTACATGGCTTTAATTCGTGTAGCTTTCCAGTAAATTTGATATCTGGTATGAAAATAGATTGTTATAACTGTAAAACATTTTATGTAAACCTCTAGCCACAACCAAAATCGAATATGTATAGAAGTTAAACACACACAAAAAGAAATCAGAGCATACCAGTGGAAAAAATTAAAAAAAACCACAAAGGCAGACATCAGAGAAAAATATGGAGAAAAGAATAAGACTAACAGAAAACAACAAAATGGCCACAGTAAATCCCTCTTTATCAATAATTACTTTAAATGTAAATAATTAAACTCGCCAATAAAAAGTTATAGAGTACTTGAGTGGATAAATGGACAAAGCACAAGACCCATCTGTGTGCTTTCTAAAATAAACTCACTTTAGATTTAAGGACACACATAAACTGAAAGTAAAGAGTTAGAAAAAGATACTTCATGCAAGTGGTAAATAAAAGAGAGAAGGAGAGGGTATATATATATCAGATAAAATAGACTTTCAGTCAAAAACTCTCACAAGGTGGGGGCGCCTGGGTGGCTCCGTTGGTTGAGTGCCCAATTCTTGATTTCAGCTCAAGTCTTGATCCCAGGGTTGTGATATCAAGCCCTACATCAGGCTCTGTGCTGAGTGTGGAGCCTGCTTGAGATTCTCTTTGTCTCTCTCTCTGGGGTGTCTGGGTGGCTCAGTTGGTTAAGTATCTGACTCTTGCTTTCGGCTCAGGTCATAATCCCAGGGTCATGGAATCGAGCCTTGGGTGGGGCTCCACGCTGGGCATAGACACTGCTACAGATTCTCTCTCGCGCTCTCGCCCTCGCTCTGTCTCTCTCTCCCTCTGCCCCCCTCCTCTAAAAAGACGAAAAATAAGACAAGAAACAACAAAAAAAAACCTCTCACAAGAGACCAAGAAGGACATTATCTAGAGATAAAAGGATCAATTAAGTGAGAATATATAACAATTATAAATATATATGCATTGGACATCAGAGCTCCTAAATATATAAAACAAACACTGGCAAACAGAAGGAAGAAACAGAACAACAAGGAAACAGCAGTAGAGGACTTCGCTACCCCACCTTCAGCAACAGATTGAAACATTTAGACAGAGTATCAATAAAGAAAACAACTAACTTGATTAGACCAAATGGACCTAACAGACACATACAGAGCAGAACACACATTCTTCTCAAGCACACATGGAACATTCTCTGGGACAGAGTACATGTTAGGTGACAAACAAGTCTTAAAACATTTAAGACTGACATCACGCTGTCTTTTCTGACCACACGCTGTCTTTTCTGACCCCAAAGGAATGAAATTACAAATCAATAACAGAAGGGAAACCAGGAAATTCACAAATATGTAGGCATCAAACAAGGTCTCTGTAGGAGATAAAGCAAAATGTATCAGATAGTTTGGGAGCTGAGAACTTTAGGGCAACAGTGGGCAGAGTGAATTATTACAGATGAAGTTTGCTAAGTCTTAGTAAATAGTCATGGGTGTTATACGCATATGGAGACAAGTCATACCATAATGAGATCAGATTCTTGGTATATTTACACTAGTGGGTTTGAAAACTACTCACAATAAAGTATATGTGGTTTCCTTTGAGATATTTGACAAAATCTATCATAATACTAGTCTACATGAAAGCGGTTTTACTCAGATTAGTTGTCATTACTTGAGAGAGAGATCATTTGCTCTATGCCACAGGCATTGTCTTTGGTCCCATCCTCTGTCACATTTATGAATGCTTCAAGTCACATAAATAAATTTGTAGAGGGCACGCAACTTGGATAGCTAATGCACTCAGTGACAGATTCATACATGCCAAGCATTCTTAAATTCACCAAATGAAGAATCTGACATGGTGAACGAAGCTTGTGTTAAAATCTAAACTGAAAAAGTAACATGGTGGGGAGAATTACCTTGATTTATAGAGGCTTACAAAAGCACTAGGGGAAGTTGAGTGACCTTATCAAAATAAGGTAAGATAGTGTTCAAGTCATGGAGAAATCTTAGATAAAATCAATACACATTGTTATAGCTCAGACTACTCGGTGAGAACCAGGAATGGGGTGGCTGGGAAGAAATTTGGTGTTTTCAATTGTTCAAGTAAGTATCATGTGAAAAGGATGTTGCAATTGATTTACTGGCCCCAAAAGGTGGAATGGGTACAAATGCTTAAAAAAAAGGACACTTCAGCCACAGATGATCTTCTTATCACTGGGGGCCTTGCCCAACCTGAGTGTACATCCATTTATGGAGAATTTAGCTTGATTTAAAGTATCTAATTAGTAGGGCCAGTAAGTAAAATCTCCTAGTGTCCCTTGGTCGTTATCAGTGTTTTTGTAGTATACTAAGATGGCTTTTTATTGCTGTTAGAACTCTTTGCGGTTACTTGGATTTAAAGTTAATTTTGAAAAGCTAGATTCAAAAAAAAATTGTTAAAGGCTGTATTTTTAGAGCTGTTTTAGGTTCACAGCAAAATCGAGAGACAATTGCGCAGATTTTCTATATCCTCCCGCCCCCACTCATGTGCAGCATCTGTCATTATCAATACCTGCCCCGATTGATTTGTTAAAACTGATGAACTTATGCGGGCACATCATTAGCACCCAAGATGGGAGTTTACATGAGGGTTCACTCTTGCTTCTGTACATTCTATGGGTCTGGATAAATATATATGACCTGGATGCAATGGTATAGTGTTCGTTACACAGAGTAGTTTCACTGCCCTAAAAATCCTCTGTGCTCTGCCTATTAATCCTTCCCTCTACTCCTGCCATTGCTGATCTCATAGCGTGTCAATAGTTTCGCCTTTTCTAGAATGTCCTGGTGGAATCATATAGTGTACTAGTAGGCAGTCTTTTCAGATTGGCTTCTGTTATATAGTAATATGCATTTAGAGTTTCTCCATGCCCTTTCCTGGTTTGATACTTATTTCCTTATTTTACTGGATACTATTTCACAAGCTGCCCATACCACAGCTTATGCAGCCATTCATCTACTAAAGGACATCCTGGTTGCCTCGAAGCGCTAACGATTATAAACAAAGCTGCTATAGACATCTGCCTTCAGGCTTTTGTGTAGATACATGTTTTTCCGTTCCTTTGAGTAAATGCCAAGGAACATTATTGCGGGGTTGTATGGTAAGAGCGTGATTAGTTTTGTAAGGAACTTTCAAACTGTTCCCCGTAGTGGCTGTACCATTTTGCAATCCTATTAGCCATGTAGGAGAGTTTCTGTGGCTCCACAATTTGGCCAACATTTGGTGTTTCCAGTGTTCCGGATTTGAGCCATTCTAACAGGTGCGAACTGGCATCCCATTGTTTAATGACATTGTCTCCAGGACATATGATGTGGAGCTTTTCATATGCTTGCTAGCCGTCTGTATATTATCTTTAGTTAAGGTCTTTGGCTCACTTTTTAATCAGGTTTTTGTTTCTTATTGTTGACCTTTAAGAGTTCTTTGTATCTTTTGGATTACAGCCCTTTATCAAATGTGAAGTGCAAATATTTTCTCCTATTCAATGGCTTGCCTTGTCATTCTTTTGACAAGGTGTCTTTGGTAGAGCCATTTTTAGTTTTAATGAATTCCAGTTTACCAATTATTTCTAAGACCTTTGCGGCAGCTTTAATAAATATTATAGTCATCCTATAATGTGACACTTTAGATTCTGTTACATATTTCCATAATACCAAAAAAAAACCCCTACATTTAAATATAAGCTTTGAATGTAAATAACAGAAATTACAGAAATTGTACATTCAGGTTAGCTTGGCGTGGCAAATCCTGAATCGTACAAATTTTCTAATATGCTAGATTCTAATTTAAGTTTAGAAAGCCAGTTATTACAGTAAATCAAAAACCCTTTGTGGAAGCAACAGAAACTTCTCAACTTGAGGTGGATTTGATTTATTTTATCATTACTACCCTAACTCTGAGAGAGGATTTGACAACAGGATTCTGGAACCTAGGAGCAACCTACATCCCGGATGATTTTATTTAAGCCACAAATGGAATTCTCTGGTCCTTTTATATCATTGAGGTCTGTTTCTCAGTCAGCAGACATCCACCACTCCGGGCACTGGAGACAATGTTTAGATTGTTATCCATTTCAGGTTTCTTTTCCTTTATTCTCTGTCAACCTAATTGTACAAAGTGTGCAGCTCATATAATGACCCAGGTTATCATTAGTGTAGGATCTAAGTTCTTGGTGGTATTTCTATTGTGTTGGCCCAGTATTTCATTTACCAGAACTATCAGGGGAAATTGTAATAAAACTTGCTTTTATAAATCTCCTGGGTTCAAGGCATAGTTCTCCTAACCACCTTGTATAACAGTAACGTAACTGCAGTGATGCTGTTCTCCGCTTTTTGTTTCAAGGGTTGAGAAGGCACAAATGCAAAAAAGGAAGTCTTAGCTTCTAATTCTTCAGGGCCTTGATCATGTTCCTTATTAGAACAGTCTTCCTGTGGGCATTAGAAGCTCTACACCCAACAAAAACAAGGTCTTGGGCTAAATAGGAGATAAGGATTAAGGAGCGCACTTGAGATGAGCACCGGGTATGAAAGTTTTCGATCACGATATTGTACACGTGAAACTAATATTACGCTATATGTTAACTAAGTGGAATTTAAGTAAAAACTTTTAAAAATGTAAAAAAACATCCCCAAGATCTGGGGGAAAGGAAGGAATTTTCTTCATATGGGAGAAATAAGGTGTAATAATGGGAGGGGGGGCACTTTGTGAACCCTAACTGCATGCTTTGATTCACAGACCTGTCTATTCTGTCTAGGGTACCAGCTGGTGTCACTAGTGTGCATTCAGGATGTCATGTCAGCGTCCTGCCCAGCAGGTCACTGATAGATAAGTAACTTCTTCAGGCATGAACGGATTAGCAGACGTTCTTTTCTGCAAAATGCCAAATGCAAAATTGTGTGGAAAATCGTAACAACAAATGAGACATTCTGTAACTTTGTGAATGGCGATCCTCGTGGAAGCATTCCAGGTGCAGAGGTCAAATCTGCTCCTAAAATCCATAATCATTCCTACAAACGCAAAGCACTATCCAGTCCATGATGGAAGACGCTTAAGTAGAAGATCTGCCATCAGGTCATTAGCTGGTTTCCTTTGAACTTTGTGCTCTTTGGTCTTTGCCCTTGATAGGCTGGGCATTCAGCAGAGGTATTAAAAAAAATCGGCCATGAGAAGGGAAGAGGTTATTATCTGAGCATCTATAGCTTCCATCCCTGCTGTCCAGCTAATGTTACAGGTGTCCCTTTAGTAAGTTCCAGCATGTGTGAGGAAAGACGCTGATGGACATGCACTTTTTCCACCCAATTATTGATAAATAAACCAAAAGCTGAAGCCTCTAGGTAGAATACGTATAGCAGGACTATAACATGAATTTTTAGACAAAATAGTCCTACGGTAACTGTGAAAATATCAAGTAAAATTATCATTGAGTCACTAGTAAATTCAAAAGGACAATTGTACAGGTAGCATTAGCTCACCCCTCTCCACCTTCTGCATCTCATTCTTTGCCCCGGGACAGTGACCTGTGCAGACAACTTTGCCCCGTGGCTTCCACTTGCCTTTAGCCAATTGATTTGGGGGCAAGAAGGCGGAGGAATGAGATAGGAGTCAAGGTTAATGGCCCTGGGCCTCCTCTCGGAGACTAGGACTGACTGTACTCCAGCCAGGGGTGCCTGCTCTACCCAGCTCACCTTCCTCTATCTTCTGCCTCACCAGTGAAACCTTCCTGTGGAAAGTTCTAGGTTTCTGTTCTCGACTTGCTACAATTGCCAAAGATTTAGGAGTTATGCACCAAAATTTTAAACTTCGTCTCAACTTACAAAATGAATGTTTCCACAACTGTATTACTCTTTTTAGGTTGGGCTTGAGGGGACTTTTTAGAGGGATAAGAAAGTTCCAAAAGTGCATTTGGGTGATGGTTGCACACATCTATTTATTTTCTAAAAGTCGTCCAATCATGTAATTACATACCATGTTATGGTATGTAAATTAGACCTCACTGAAGCTAAGAGAAAAAAAAAATCTGAAATCTCTGTCCTGCCTCATGAATATTGTATATTCTGTTCAAATACCAGAAAAGGCCATTGAAAAATATGGTTTCTTTCCTAAATTCTCCCCACATTTTTTTTTTTTTGGTATTTAAGATGTCTTTAGAATGTCAAAAGTTGCCAGTATTTTTTTCTTCAAATTATATTATTAAATTATTAGCATGATTTATAATCAATCTTGTTTTAGGGTCAGGAAATTTAACTGTTAGGTGATTGCAAGCTATTATGTTAAATCAAATATCACTATATCAGGAAGTGTAATTGAAAATTCATGTATTGTAACTAAACCGAAAGGCACCTATGTATCATTTAACTCGACTCTGAAAGGGGTACAATTTCCATTTCCCTGACTTTATGGGATTATCAGGAAACATTTTTCAAAGAACCATATATGATATTAAATTCAATATGTGGTGGACAGTTTAGAAATTATGTGTTATGTAGGTCATGAGAAATAAACTTAAAAAAAAAAAGAAAACATTTCCTTTGAGGTTTTCACCGATAGATGAAACTGTGTACCCTTGTCTGTACCCTGAGTGAACAATTTGAGGACTAGCTCTGAATAGCAGCAGATTTATTATTTTCTTATTATATATCATACTTAGGAAAACAAAACGTACACATATACACAGATATATTCACCCACATTGAAGATGCAAGATGAAGAAAGATACATGACATTGAATTTACAATGGAAAAAAAGGAGTTCTATCGAAACATCCCAACTTAAATTTAAAGGTATGGTATTCCTTTTTTTTCCCTAATTGGTATGGGTTAATATGAATAAGAATTCAATGTGGGTTAATCTGAATATGAATACGGACGGTAATTTCCAACATTGCAGTCTTTACTGTTCTTGGACTATTTTATTTTTTGGTGCTTTCCTCTCTCTGTCTGCCCCCATCTTGTCTTTCTGTCTCTCGCTCTCATTTATCAAGGTGAGGGCAACAATTGTTTTTATTTATTTATTTTTTTTTTAAATTTTTTTTTTTTCAACGTTTATTTTTATTTTTGGGACAGAGAGAGACAGAGCATGAATGGGGGAGGGGCAGAGAGAGAGGGAGACACAGAATCGGAAACAGGCTCCAGGCTCTGAGCCATCAGCCCAGAGCCGACGCGGGGCTCGAACCCACGGACCGCGAGATCGTGACCTGGCTGAAGTCGGATGCTTAACCGACTGTGCCACCCAGGCGCCCCAACAATTGTTTTTAAAGTAAAATTTTGTATCATATAGTTTCCTAAGGACATTCTCAGGACAAAATACACCCTTCCTTGTTATTAAGAAAAATTTGGGGTCATATAATTTCCTAAGGACATTCTCAGGAAAAAAAAATACACAAAATTAGTAAAATTGAGATGGATGTTTAGCTCCAATCATCCACCTCCTTCTCACTCATAAAAATGGCATCTTTAGTACTAGTTTTTAATTCAGCTTGTCAAAAACTTTGAGTGTATTTTTCACCAGGTGGATAATTTCAGTTTGGAAAATAGAGATACTGACTTGAAAGACCACAAAATGTAACGGCTCTTCTGTGCAAATTTTTTTTCACAGTTTGTAGATATCACTCTGAAACCAAAATGGGTTTTGGTGCAGAAAAGGAGCCCAGGTGGCTGCAAATAATGAATGTGCAACTCCTAGCTATTTAAGTGGCATCTGCTAATATTCATCCTTTACCAATAAATGCATCACTCGCTAATAGTAAAGTTTGCTAATATTTAGTAAAGCTTGGGGTGTGACATACGTTTGAGTCTAATTGACAGGTTAAGTCCTGTCAGTATACACAGGGCTTTTACTTAACTTTGTGATCATATATTTGTGTATTTTTTTCCTCGTATCTTGGTGGTAATGAAAATAAGACATTACATTTTTGCCACTATCTAAAGTTTCAGAATCACTGTAGAAATAGAGTTACGAATAATATAGTTACTTAATATAGATTGAGATGTTTTTGCAGGTTTTTCTTTTCTTGCCCTCAGTGTATATTCCATGCACAGTCCCATTATGTTTTAAAATTGCTTGGGGGCGCCTGGGTGGCTCAGTCAGTTAAGCGTCCGACTTCGGCTCAGGTCATGATCTCACTGCTCGGCCCCTGAGTTCGAGCCCCGCGTCGGGCTCTGTGAGGACAGCTCAGAGCCTGGAGCCTGCTTCAGATCCTGTGTCTCCCTCTCTCTCTGCCCCACCCTCTGCTTGCACTCTGTCTCTGTCTCTCAAAAATGAATAAATGTTAAAAAAAATTTCTTGAAATAATTCCTCTCCATGGTTAAGCCACTAACTTAATATCCAGTTAGGGCCCTTTACTTCATCTTCCATTTTATTTTTAGGGATCACCTTTTTTTCACCTTGACGTAGTTCTTTTTATAATTATGTATAAGTATACACACTGTGCAATTGTAATAATGTATATAATGCCTATTATACAATATAATTATAATTATTTTATAATTATTTAAAACATTTATATATTTTCAAAGTCAAAGCTAGCTAACAAGGTACTTCCAGAGATCTCCAACTCCCCAAAATCCAGATTCCATCTTTTGCTTTCACCCTGCTGTCTCCTCCCACACATTTCAATCCTACATACAGCCTAACATTTCTCTATTAAGTGGATGTGCCATAGTTTATTCCACTAGTTCCGTTATTGGCCATGTAAGATGTTTGCATTGCTTTTCTATTGTATTCCTATTATAAATAGCACTGCAATGCCTTGCACATATGTCTTTTCATGTTTTGCCAACATGTCACTGGGATGTATTCCCAGAAGAGAGATTGCTGGATACCAATGCAAATGCTCATGTAATTTTGCTCGTTTCCCCCCAAATATCGCTCCACACGATGGTACCATTTTATACCATGATGAATCTAATAGTGGCAAATATCTTTTTAAAATACTGACTTTAGTGGGGCACCTCGGTGGCTCAGTCGGTTAAGCGTCTGACTCTTGATTTCGGCTCAGGTCATGATCTCATGGTTTGTGAGTTTCAGGCCCCACACTGGATTCCTTGCTGACAATGCCAAGCTTGCTTGGTATTCTCTCTCCCTCTCTCTCTGCCCCTCCCTCGCTTGCTCTCTCTCTCTCTCTCTCAAAAATATACAAATAAACAAACAAAAAAAAAATAAAACAAAATACTAATTTCAATTCTTTTGGTATACCCAGAAGTGGGATTGCTGAAAGGTTTGGTAGCTCTATTTTTCTTGTTTTGAAGGACTGTCATACTGTTTCCAATAGTGACTGCATCATTTTATATTCTCACCAACAGTGTGCAAGGGTTCAAAGTTCTCCACACCCTCACCAACACCTGTTATCTCTTTTTGATAGCCATTCTCACAGACGTGAAGTGGTATCTCATTATGGTATTGTTTGCATTTACCCGATGATTAGTGATGTTGAAAGACTTTTCAGGTACTCGGCCATTTGTATGCCTTCTTTGGAAAACAGTCTATTCAGATCCTCTGCCCCTTTAAAAATAAGATTTTTTTTTTGCAATTGATTTGCATAAGTCGTATGAGTTCCTTATATATTTTAAATGTTGGCCCTTTATCAGATAAGATATAGATTTGCAAATGTTTTGTCCCTCTAATTTTTTTTTTCTCTCGTTCCTTGTGTCTTTAATTTAGGTGGTTTATTTGAGAGCTTCCTTTAAAAAAATTTTTTTTACTGTTTCTTTATTTTTGAAAGAGAGAGAGAGAGAGAGACAGAGTGTAAGCGGGGTAGGGTCAGAGAAAGAGGGAAAGACAGAATCCGAAGCAGGTTCCAGGCTCTGAGCTGTCAGCACAGAGCCCGATGTGGGGCTTGAACCCATGAGCCGCGAGATCATGACCTGAGCTGAAGTCAGGACGAAGTCAGATGCTCAACCTACTGAGCCAACCAGGCACCCCAGCTCTTTCTTTTTATCTCAATGTAGGTATTTATGGCTACAAACATCTCTCTTAGAAGTGCTTTTGCTACGTCCCGTAAGTTTTGTTGTGCTGTATTTTCATGTTTATTTGTCATAAGTTTTGTGCTGTATTTTCAAGTTTGTTTTTTAAAGATTTTTAAAAATTTCCCTTTTGATTTCTTCTTTGACTCATTATTTGTTCAAGAGTGTGTTACTTAATTTGACATATTTGTAAATTTTCCAGTTATCCTGCTGTCTTGATTTCTAGCTTCATACCATTGTCACTGGAAAAAAATCCTTCATATGATTTCAATCTTCTTAAATTTGCCATGACTTGTTTCATAAACTATCATATGATCTATCCTGGAGAACGTTCTGTGTGCATTTGAGAAGAATGTGTATTCTTCTGTTATTGGATGGAATGTTCTGGGTATGTCTGTTAAGTGCATTTGGTCTAAAGTAATAATTCAAGTTCCACGTTCTTATAGTGATTTTTTGTTTGGATGGTCTATCCATTGTTGACTATGAGGTATTGAAGCCCTCTATTATTATTGCACTGTTGTCTATTTCTCCCTTTCACATCTGTTAATATTTGCTTAATGTATTTATCCACTTTGATGTTGGGTGCATATATATTTCTGATTATTATATCCTCTTGATAAATTGACTCCTTTATCATTATATGATGATGACCTTCTTTGTCTCTTGGTACAGTTTTTGACTTAATGTCTATCTTGTAGCTACCTCTGCTTTCTTTTAGTCTCCATTTGCATAGAATATCTTTTTCTCTCCCTTCTTTTTGAGCCTATGTGCATCCTTAAGGAAGAAGTGAGTCTTTTGTACATAGCATGCAGTTGTATCCTGTTTTGTTTTTTTTTAATCTATCCAGCCACTCCATGTCTTTTGATTGGAGGAGTTAATCCCTTTATAAGGAGAATAATTCTTTTTTATTTTTTTTATCTTTGAGACGCTATTTATTTATTTTGTTTTTATTTTATTATTTTTTAATATGAAATTTATTGTCAAATTGGTTTCCATGCCACATGAGAAAGAATGAAATATGGCCTTTTGTAGCAACGTGGATGGAACTGGAGACTGTTATGCTAAGAATAATTCTTGATATGACAAGACTTACTAATGCCATCTTATTACCTGCTATTTAGCTGTTTTGTAATTCCTTTATTCTTTTCTCTTTTTGTTGCTGCCTTCCTTTGTGAGTTGGTTTTTCATAGCGGTATGCTTTGATTCCCTCTGTTTTTAGTGCATGTATCGAATAATGTGTAGGCTTTGCTTTGTGGTTACTATCCACTTCTGTAAAACATCTTATAGATATAACAGTCTATTTTACACTGATAACAACTTCAATCTCATACAAAAACTCTTCCTTTTTAATGCTTGCCTTTTATGTTTTCGATGTCACAATTTGCCTTTTGTAGTGTGTATTCAATAACAAATTATTGTTATCTATAGTTACTGTAAAGACTTTTTTCTCTTTTAACTTTTATATGAGAGTTAATTAATTTTTTCCAAACTTCTGTGGAAAACTTCCAGTGTTTCTCAATTAAATTCATTAGACAAACAAACAAACAAACAAACAAAAAACACCTGTTACTGGTGTGCATATTGAACAAGTATCCATCAATTCCTGCTTTATTTTCTAGCATAAAGTTGTTGGGTTTTATCAATTGCATTTTTTTACAACTATTGAGATGATCATACATTTCTTTCTAGCTCTGTTAATAAGACAAAATGAATTTCTTACTATTGAATAGCATTGGATTCCTAGTATAAATCTGCCATGGTCATTTTATGTTTGGGCGACAATAATATATTTAAGATTTTTGTATGGACACTTAGGAGTGATTGATTTTGGATTTTTTTTTTTTAATTTTTTTTTTCAACGTTTATTTATTTTTGGGACAGAGAGAGACAGAGCATGAACGGGGGAGGGGCAGAGAGAGAGGGAGACACAGAATCGGAAACAGGCTCCAGGCTCTGAGCCATCAGCCCAGAGCCTGACGCGGGGCTCGAACTTCCAGACCGCGAGATCGTGACCTGGCTGAAGTCGGACGCTTAACCGACTGCGCCACCCAGGCGCCCCTGATTTTGGATTTTTAAAATTATTTTTATTTTTATTTTCTGATGTTAAAGTCTTGTAAGTTAAATTCTGTGCAGGAGAATTCTCTACAATTTTTGTACAGGAGAAAACACAAGATAGTGAAAATGTTACTTCCTCCAAAATCGTAAACCTTAATAAGGCTCAAATTCATACTGTGGAACTCTTTTCATGATGCTTAAGAGAAATAATTGAGCCTCAGTTTGAAAAGGCTTCTGCACCCTTTCTCCTAATGTTTTCTGATAATCATGTGTTTGATTTTTTTTAAATGAATAAATGACATTTTATTACATGTGTTGAATACTTTGAATTTTTTGATGATAACTTTTAACACATCAAAATATTAAAAAATAATCTGGGAAGTACAGGGAATCCATTAATTGAATGAATATAACATATCTTATTTTACTGTCTTGTGAATATTATGATAAGACCAAAGCTATGCACTATTTTTCTGACATACTGTTTTATATGGTTTATGACGCTCTTTCTCGACCAAGTTCAGCATCTTCAAATGTGGGTTTTTTTACTCCCACAGATTTAAAGGGTATTTGGAATATGAATTTCAGCATTTATAATTCAATTTATTGACTGAACAATAAGGATGATCATAGTTATGGGGAGTGGCTTCTTATCAATTATTGTGATACATTTGCAAAAATTATCTTTGATGACATAAAATGTTGTGCAAATATAGGTGCTCATTTATTCAACATAAAATAATTGCTCATAAAATTCCACAAGCTAATGTCCGCCAACCTAAGTCCTTTTTAATGAGGTTGAGAAAAATAACAACGTATATAATTGAGGCGCTGGATGAGACTATTTACTTTCTGTATTATGACACCAGTTAGTTGATAACAGCCATCACTGAATGCACATCTTATCTTGAACCTAGCAGTATATGGAAAATAAAATGAGTATTTTCATACATATGAAAAAGAAAATAGTCGCCACTCTTAAAGAGTTTACCGTCTAAAGAGAAGCTGAAGCATCATTATTACATGAGTTAGAAAAGATTTTAGGATTTTTTTTTTAGATTAGAGTAGTTGGTACCAGGAGTCGTATTTAGCTTTGATTTGTACTGCTTTCTTAGTAAATGAGATGGGTTGAATGATTTGTGAATATTATTACATTAAAGCAAATTTATTAATTAGAAAGTATCTATTTGTGTGAATATAGATGTATGTATTTGTAAGTGCACACGCACAAATGAGCGTGTGTATGCATGCGTGCTTGGGGAATTATGAGGTGTATACATTAAAATTCTTTATCCCTCTGGTCAGTTATGTCAAATATTAGCAATTTCTTAAGATCTGATATAACATGCATCATAGCTCTAACCATGTAGTGTTACTATTACTGAATAAAATACATATTTATTTTTCTGTTTATTTAGGTTTTAAGCTTTTGATTGCCTGATATCATTTGAAATTCAAAACCAATATTATTTGCAATCCTCGTCTTACAGTTGCTTTCACTTCTTAGAAATTACTTTTCTAGGGGCGCCTGGGTGGCGCAGTCGGTTAAGCGTCCGACTTCAACCAGGTCACGATCTCGCGGTCCGTGAGTTCGAGCCCCGCGTCGGGCTCTGGGCTGATGGCTCAGAGCCTGGAGCCTGTTTCCGATTCTGTGTCTCCCTCTCTCTCTGCCCCTCCCCCGTTCATGCTCTGTCTCTCTCTGTCCCAAAAATAAATAAACGTTAAAAAAAAAAATTAAAAAAAAAAAAGAAATTACTTTTCTAAGCTAATTCATTTGATTAATCCCTCAGATTCTTCTGTGATGTTGCCTTGGTCTAAAATCTTACTGGGGATATCTGGAACCATAAATGGTATTCTGGTTTTGACTTTGATTTCCCTGTGTTTACTGGGTAAGTTGAAAGATTTTAAATACAAGTATGGAAATGTTTACGTTCTTCTTACTACTCTTTTTATATTCATTCATTCACTTATTCATTTTCTGTCATGTTAACAAAGGCTTAATTAGAAGCTACTGTGTATAAAGCCATATAGCATTCCCCATCGTAATGTATTTAATCTGTAGTCAAATCAGGTGAGTATCTTGTTCTCAAGTGGCATACATTCTAGCAGGAAGAAAACGTGTGTGTGTGTGTGTGTGTGTGTGTGTGTGTGT